TTGCCCAAGAACTTCAAAAGCAGAGGTACACTGAACATTGCCGACAGCCTGTAAGTATCTATCTACCAATACTGAAATTTATGGGGAAAAGGAGGAACTCAGAGTATTTAAGAGCATACCATTTCTATTTCCTCTGGAAATAGACTTTTCTTTTTTAAAGTTGATAAAGGTCTTAAAAAAATGTATTCTGCACAACAGTCAAAGACATTGTAAAGCATTCTAAATGACCATACATATACAATTACATATATATATATGATAGTATATACCTTATAGAATGTATGTATGTACATTTAAAAATGAAGCTTCCATAAATTTGTATTTTGCCAAGAAGAGGTCTCAACAAGTGGTTCTGGACTGTTTGGTAAAACGCATAGAGCCCTTAAGAGTTCATTTTTGAAAAATACTTCTATTGTCACTCCCTTAGCCCCGGGTAGCTAGGTGACAGAAACGTAGCAAAACTGTTATAAAAGCTCCACAACATTCTTACAGATATTTCCCCCTCCTTCAACTTACAGAGCCTAAACTAATTATTCAACATCACTGGGTAAAGCCACACAACTTATTTCATCATTCCAAATTTATGCCAGTAAGTCTTATATGACCATATGACAATAATTTTGCATATGCCAAGTAAGTTACAAAAAAACAACTTTAGAATTCACATGTGTTTGCAAGCAAAGAAAATGGCTTCAAAATCCTGCTTCAAAAATGTTGCTTCTCTTGAGAAACAATATAAATTCTTTCCTATGCTGAGCATGGACTGCACCACTTCAGACGTGCAAGGAGAAACCAAAAGAAACATAGAACAAAGTCAAACTCTTCTCCTTTATACATTTTTACTTCATTTATTTCCATACAGCCCCAATTGTTTTCCTCTGTAATTATCCCTTTAAAGACTTCAGGTCCCTGCTGACATGACCTGGTCCTTGATTTGAGCATCAGATATGAACACAGTGAAAATAAGGGGTATGTTTCACTGCCTCTGTCCTCCCTGGTGATTAGGAAAAGCCAAGAGGAAAAGTAGTATGTTTTGAACCCTGCAAATGCCATATGGACAAAAGCAACTGGAAAAGTGGGGAGAAAGGAGTTTACTGAAACAGTAAAGGGATGGATTTGGCCTCAGAAAGGAAATTCTGCCTTTATAAAAAAAAAATTTCACATCAGTAATGAGATACTTCTACATTTTTCTCCCAGGATGATTTGGAAGATGATACTGTTTATCAGAACAGATGAGCATATGCAGCAGTTCAGATTTGTTCAATATTTCTCATGCAAGCAAAGGGGCAGATGAAGAAGTTAAGCTTCCCCACAGACTTCCTTTGCTTTAAAAAGAGAGGAGAAAACCTTGCAGGGCAGTGTTCTTCAAGAGTATTTTCTAAACAGATCACCAAAACCAAGTGCATCTATGTTATATATTACTTCAATTTTCCATTCTGCAAGAACAAGAACCATGGCAAAAGACTTCATCTTTCGTAAGATAACTGCTAATGCTTCATAAAGGTTTCCTTTTTCAGTTTAGATTTAATTCTGTGTCTTTTTTTCTTTTTACATAAATTCACATGTATTCCTTTTACATGAATTGAGGATTTGTGAAAGATGTATGATAATTGACAGCAACAGAAAATAAACTCATTTCATAGGTGAAATTCTGGTTTTAGTCATGTTAATGGGATAGTTATCGATGTAACAGATATACAGATCAACAGTTACTGAGTCTTAACAGCAGTTTAAATAGAATAAAACCTATGTATTCTGTAGACAGGCAAGCAGAAAAAACAGACAATATAAATGCATGTACCATCATGTAGAGCTCAGTTGGGATGGGAGCTTCTTCCTAGCCTATTTAGGAAAGGGAAGTAGTGGTCATAGTGAGAATGTTGCTCCTGCAATATTAAAATTCACTTGCTAGACAGACAACCGCCATTTTTCAATCCTACCATCCAAAGTCAGGATTACCTGGAGCACCAAGTTTTGCCTTTACATGCCTGTTCAACATGGATACAAGCACGAACACAGTAGTAGACTACCCAGTCAAGGTAGTATACTTTTTTTTTAAAAGTACCTTTTTTTTTTTTTAGCGGTTACTACCTAGCCTATCTCCAAAATCAGCACTTTTACAAGAGATCTGTTAGTAGGCATTCTCCCTACTAAAGGGTATCTTTTATCACCACTTAAATAAAGCAAGGCTTTGTTTAACAAATGAAACGGCATTTCTCACTTCAGTGAGATGAGAACTGACAACTGAGACAAAGCAAGGGTCCATCTAGCACAGTACTGTGTTTCCAGCTCAACTTAGTACCAAGTATTTCAGGAAGATGGAAAACACACCTTTGCCTTCTTATCCCTGTCAATCAATCGCAAGGACATTAATTTGTTCAACAAGAAAATTTCACAATCCCAGGCTGCTAGTGTTTACTAATTCTGAAGTATGGTGTCTCTGACATTTTTATTTTACAGAAACTTAAACCAGTCTAGTCATATATTAGCTAATAATGCCTTTACATAAATATGATGTCTGTATTAGGAAATACAAAGGATTTTTATATGACCCTATGGGATACCTATTAAAAATATAAAGTTATAATAATACATGTTCTTATGTGACTAGTCTAATACCTTATGATTCATCCGGTTTACTGCCAAATTTAGACATGCGCAGTAACGGCATTAGTTGTTGTTCTGTATGTTGAAAATAAAACTCTGAAAAGCCCCAGAAAGATTTTATGATTAAGCTACTTTGGACTCTAGGTGTCACTGTAATTCCAGAAACAGCAAGCACAGAAATATATTTTACCTCCTCCGCCACCTTGCTTTGTTCTCTTAAAGCAAATTTTATGTTATTCACATAGACAGTTTCCACAATTACCTTCCCATTACATTACGTGTAATAACCGAAATATCTTGTTTTAATTAAAATAATTTCTCCACTTCTAGAAACTGATCTATACACTGATCAAACACCTTACCTGCCTCATCTCTTCTCCATTTGTTCCCCCCTCTAAAATTCAGAAGTTTATCTAGGCGGGTCCAAACTGTTTTTAATTAGCTGATGAGCCATGAAATGTTCTTCTCTTTGAATGTTCCAAGTATTTTTTTTTGGTTAAAGATGAAGCATATGTGCACATCTAACACTTTTTAAAATGCATCATCTTGTAGAACAGCTGAATGAAAATACTGAAATTCTAAAATCATTTGTACATCATGAAGAGAGTCTGGCAGTTCATTGTCTATTTCTTTAGACTACAGTTAAATAGATCTTAAGTGGGAAAGCTTCAGTGGAATGACAGTAACTTTTGTGTGTGCTAACTTGCATTGTCTAAAGAAGTTTATATGGGCCCATATCCACAATAGTGGTGAACAGACAAACCGAGTATGTTTTTAAGTTTCAGAACATATTAAGGAAACAAAACTGCCTTAAGCAAAGTGACTAATCTGGTACAAGTCACAACCACAAACAAAAGTATGACTTCAGTTTACAAGACATCTTACAACAGATTTCAACTTTCAACAAGTAGCAATGACCAAGTTCAACAATCACAGAACAGGTTTCCAGTCCCTTGGGATTTATAAATTTAACACTCTATTCTCCTCTCAGTACACTGTAGGAGATTAATGATGAAGGATATAAGCAGACTTAGAGTAGTTTCTTCCTTAATTTATCTACCTCCTGCTGAGCCAGGAAGTTGCATGTGGTCTGTCACGTGATTACCCAACAACATGCAGAAAAGTAGACGCTGGGTGCAATAGCAATTGCAAAACACAATGGCACATAGTTTTGAAGGCACACAAACAAAAAGCCACCCAAATAATTTCTCCATTTCTGCTTCTAATATGCCAATGAAAGACTAGAAAGACATTGCTGTTATTTGGAATTCTAAAGAATTTTTAAAAGAGGAAGCCATATTGTTCCACATTATAGGAACAATAAGTTGTAACCAAATATGCTTGAAATACTGTACAGATGCATAAGTCAACCCCCCATCTCATTTAAGACACACTACTTTTCAGAATAGTTACAAAATTAGATGCTCAAATACTGTATTTTAAGCAATTCTTCATCTGATGGCTTTATTTTTTACACTTAAAACTTCACACCACCTCCCGCCCCAGCAAAAATGCCACTAGCATATAAAAAGAGGAAAACAGATTCCATTTGATGCATTTGTGATTGCCAGAATGCTAAGGTTATTAGTTCTGTATTTTCTGGGCATACATGCCTTTCCACAGACAAGTCTTAATACTCAAGGAGAGCCAGCGTCCAAACGATGACTGATGAACACCAGCCTTCTGGAATTCAAACCATTTTTATGGGTGCCTCAACCTGAATCCACAATCATAGGCACATAAAAAAAAGTTTCTAGTCTCTTTTGAAGTTTAGTCATAAGGACAGATTCATTTGAAAATCTCTCATGTATTTCTTTAAAATGCAACTAGGGGAAATAATTGAGTTTTGGCGCTGAATTTTACTTTTTTTATTCCAGTTAATAATACAATACAAGTAGTGGCTGATACTTCATATTAGTAGGGGTCTATATTTTACTTTGAGAGCTCATGTTGGAAAGTGAACGTTACCTCCCTATGAATTTTTAGGTGTGGTTCATCTGGAACACTTGAAACAGTTTGACATGAACTGCTCTATTCAGCATTACAGACAGTTCTGACGGTTTTGCTCAACGGTCACTAGAGACAACTGGGGTTACCTATATGACAGCAGCAGAGGGCCCTAATCAGAGATCAGTTTTCCATGTTGCTCCAACACAGCTCAAATGTGGCAACCTGCAGAACAGGATATGTGACTTCAATATTTGAGCTTTTTGTTGGTGCCAACAACGTATGTTGAGGAATTAAGAAAACAGCTTACATCATGTGGCCTATTTACCTATGATTTCATAGTTCTGAACATGCACCTTACAAGTTATTTGTAAAAATCAAATACAAACATGCTAATTATTTATTAAACATTTAATTTGGGATACTATAAGCTACAAATGTTTTCTTTACCTGCCTAAAGAGCTATAATCTGTGTACTTACCATTTTCCACATATGGGTGAAATGGCAGAACTAATGCTAGAATGACTCTGCCTCTAGTTGGCTCCAGTACACTTCTAATATCTTTTAATACAGTCAGTGGTTGATCACAGCGATCCAGCAAATTCAAACAGCTGATAACATCGTACTGAAATCCTGTGTTTTGCCATTCATTTATACCAAGCACCCTACAAAGGGGAAGAGAAAGAGATATAGTCTGTTAAATAAACACAAGCTGAGTTCAGAGAGAACCACTGAAGACAAAAATTCCCTGTGTGGGAATGGATGTGTTGATAGTGCAGGTAAGGTCAGCCACCTAGGCAGCGAGAAGAGACCCTTCTGGTCTTTTGGAAAAGAAAACTAAATCAATAATGGGCACGGCTATATATCCAGCCGTATGAACCTTTATATTGCCTTATAATCATCAGGCAATAAAGGAGACAAAAAACAAAACGCCAGGTATTAAAAAAATGTGTTGTCCTAGAATAAAACTGAAGATACTTCTCAAGGAACAACAAAGCTGAAATATGATTAATGGCTTGCTGCATTTTATCTACTCTGATTTACCAGTGTGCTAACCTGGATTGCAAAGTGGCTGTTATGTTTCCACTCAAAGACAGGTAAAGAAAAGAAATCCACAGTTCCTTCAGTCTTTGTGCTGAAGTCTAGGGATATAGCGCCTCAAATACTAACCATTACTCAGCAAGACTGGATCTGCTGCCTGCAAGAACCTCCAGGAGCTGTGACGAGTGCATGAACAAAGTTCTGAAAGTGCTGAGGTTTTTGTTACTAAATATTATTCAATCTTAACAGCAGGAGCTAAGCATAGCAAGAATAAAAGAATCTTTACACTGTCGTCTATACTGTGGGATTAGATAAATATAGATTATTGAGGTATCCCTATTACCAGGATTCAGTTTTCTTTCTCTGCAGTACCTGTGTCTTCCTCTTGCAATTTTGGACTGTTCACTTAGACTGTTCATCTGAATTTCATCTTCCCGACTCCCTTGATTAAAGCAATTTACACAAGCTGTGAAGAAAGAGACTTCAAAACGGTTGTTGCCTATTTTGTTTTAACTGATAACAGGGAACATCCGCATAACAAAAGCACTGGTAACAGGGAACATCAGATGCGTTTGTTTTCCTGCTTTTGTACTGTTCAACCTTTTCCATAACAATCAAACAATAGAGGAATTGACTGAAAATACTGGACATTCATTAAATATTACAAATAATTACTTTGCTGTCTGATATAAAGGATGTAGGAAGTATTCAGTATAATACCTGTATTTTTTCTTCTGAAGCTGCCATATCATAGTTTCAGACAATTCAGTGGCATAGATTTCTTCAAAGTGAGGACTCATGACTTTAGTGACTTCTCCATCCCCAGCCCCTAAATCGAGAAGTCTGTGGGATTTCCATTCTGGATTTATTTTAAGCAGTCTTTGAAATTGTTCTGGGGAAAACACAAACATTGAGCCCCGTCCCAGCAGCCTGAAATGTAAAAATGAGAAATGACCAATTTTGTACAAACTTTAACAGGAAGGACAATGAAGTAATTTAGAATGTCCTTTGGCAGCAATCAGACACACATAATAGTAGACAAGGTCACTGCTCAGATAAATTTTAAATCCAGTTCAACTTGCCTTGCACTTGTCAGAGATCAAACACATAGCCACATGCAGTTACAGTGGTTACGGCTTCAGGAGGAATTTGATTAGGTAAGGAAGAGCTCATGGGGTGCACCTCAAGAAAATGATTGCATAAAAAAAAAAAAAAAGGAGGGGCAAGAGAAAGAGAGGCAAAGATAAAGGCTGAACCTTATTTGTCACGTTTGCAGATTTAAATCTCTGCCATCTACCTTAAAAAAAGATGAAATAGCAGAGGAAATAAAACGGCTGCAGACACAGAAGTATGCAGAATGAATGAGGAATACGATGTGGAACTAGGAGGGAAGCCAGGGAACAGATTTAAAGAAAGGATGGGGGTAACACTGCTGGAGTGGCAAAAGAGATTTTTTTAATTGTACGTTACAATGGCTTGTGCTGCTGTCTGCAGATCCTGCATTCAACATGAGAACTATGGAATAGAAAACAGGCAACTCATTAAGGAATTGGGTTGAGGTGACAGTTGGATTCCTTATGGATCAAGTCAATGACATACCACCCGTAACTGTTTGAAGACTACATAGTGACAGATTTCAGCTGTCATAGCAGAATCCAGAAGATGAAAGAGTTAGGACAACAAGCAGAGGAAGAAGAACTGGTCAGTAATAGACTGAAGGTAGATAAATACTATTCTTTAAACTAATGTTGGACAGCAGGTTAAACTTAAAAGACAATGAACAGAAATCTTTTATGTTCAAGGGGAAAAAAAAGGTAAACAAAGATAAAAAGAATCAAAGAATAAAAAAATGTGAAAAAAAGGTGGCCTAGGAAAGATTGACTGCAATAAAAACCAAAGAAACAAAAAGGATAGAGTATACAAAGTGATATAGAAGAAACTAAAGCAGGATATTAAATGTATAAAAATAAACAGAATATAGCCAATTTAAGTAGAGCCCCCTTGCAGCACACTTGTGTCAGTCCACACTGTATAATTGGCTCATAGCTATTATTCCTAACAGCACTATGAGGTGTTATCCAAAGCACTGGAGAGCCTTTGAAAAAAAATGGAAGAGAAAGGAAGAAGAGGAGACCAAAGGAACCTTTGTATAAAGCTACAAGTAACTAAGAACACCACAGGGAAGCTCATAAAGTCATCTGGTTAGAAAATAAGGAAAAAGATTATTTTTCTAGCCTTAGGAGACAGCTACTATCCTTATATGAGACTGTGCAGAAGCATGCAGTAGGTGCAGAGGTGGGGTTGGTGGAGAAATCAGGTAAATGTAACAAAATGCATTCTTCTTAAGGTCAAAACTGATAAGCTGTTAAACATATGTCTGAATGGGGTGACGTGAGCACAGAAAGGCACCGACTTTTTTGGAAAAAATACTAAAACACCCATGAACAGCTAAATTCCTCTGCAGCCACAGAAGAGACTGATACAATAAGACTAGGATAATATTGTTTTATAAACTTCTCTTTTCCTGCCTTCCTGATGCTTCATCAGTCAAACATGCTACATCAGCAGTTACCTGTTCAAGTACAGTTTACGCAGAAATTGAGGTGAAATTAAGTTTTACAGAATAAGAGAAAGGACAGAATTCTGTTCCATATCCGTGTTACCAGACACAACACTCGGCCAACTTCTGCACTGTTTAGAAATCTGCCTAGGTTTGCAGTGGATATACACACACTCTCTTCTAGAAAGAGTTTTAGATGCAATACAAAACTGACTGGATACAGCCAACTACAATAAGGACAATCACAACAGTAACTGATACAGATATAGCAGTAGGTAAAGTAAAGGGCAAGGGGAGGGGGGTAAAAAAGCAGAGGGAAGAGGGATACATTGTCTAACACAAAGAGAACACACTCTTATTTAGAAGGAAATTAATACAAGCAATGGTTATAAAATACAATTAGAGTCCTCCGACTATCTCTTATTAATTGCTATTACCTCCTCTCTCACCCCATACCGGAAATGGTGTTCATCAATTAAGAGGGTTGGGTGTAAAGAGCACAGTAGGGCATTTCAGATCTGTTAGACTGGCAAAGGGAAAACTACAGATTTAAGAAAAGCTGACAGATCAAGGGGTAGGGCTGGACACTTGAAAGCTCTAAATCCAAACTGTATTTAGTTGACCTAAGATTGACTTTTCACTTACCCATTGATAGATGTTCTAGACATAAAGAGGCTAAAAATTGAGGACACGAAAGAGTGATAGAGCTGGATAAACAGCCAGCCTGATTTCTCAATGCTGTTGTTTAAGAAGATCTGTGTTCCTTGGTCAAGGTAACTCTGGACAAAAACAGGCTGAAGGGATTCAGACAACTGTTCTGTGTTGCAGACATACCACTAGAGAAAGAGATAAAGGATCATTACAGAGTTCAGCAATATAAAACCAGAAGTAGTTAAAAAAAAATTGAATACACAGAAGGCTATTATCAATTTCCATAAATATAAAAATTTAGTTTTTCCTAAAGACTTTTCAACAAACTTCAGGATTAATTTAACTTGGATTTGAATTGTAATCAAGTGAGGACCAATTACTTGCTGAGAAATAATGCTTTTACTTTTTGTCTTAATCATTTCCCTGTACTTTGAAGAATTTTACAAACTTCCCTAGAAAGCAAAAGCAGGTCCTCTATGGAATAGCACCACGCTGACAAAATAGTATGAAGTGGGATAACATTGTTTTCTACCTTCCAACTCATTCTCAACTTTTCCGAGGCATCCTCTGAAAAGAAATCAGCAAGCGCATTTCCAATATTTTTCCAGGAAAGGACATAAAGAATCCAATGAATACTTCAGACAACAGCTTGTCTGTCTTATAGCATTGCTGGACTATGTTTCTTCACTTACCAGTACCAATAAGCAGGTCCGCAATCTTTTGAAACAATTATGTCTATGAAGCTGCCTCCCAACATCTCTACTAAACAAAGGAGCAGGTTCCCACATCTAGGAAGTCATCAGTATCAGCTGAAAGGCAGTTCTATACTTTTTATTGTTAAAATATAAAGCCCAAGCTAAAATGGGCCAATGATTCCTTTTACCTTGTGTCACCTGGTAACAACCACTCCTATACAAACTAAACTAACGCTGATATGCAAGCTATTGTTCAATTAATTGTGAAGAAAAAGGATGTTATTTTTTGATATCAAATCTACCCTGAAAAGCAATAAACCATACAATATCCTAATATTTTCCTATCCACATGTAAGGCATATCTAAACTCCTTCTTTAACACCTCCTTTAACACCTGATTTACTTTATTTTAAATGCAAAAAAACTTGTGCAAAACAAGGCAAACCTGTAGAAATTCTGAAATTTTAGGACCTTCATGGCCACCTTCTGCACCTCCAGCAAATGCCTCTAACGCTGCAGCATTCTGGAATGTCGGCACTGATAATAAAATTCAAAAGGTTGCTCATTGCAATGCCAAGTTAAAAACCCCTTCCACTCAATATGCAGAAGTTACAAAAAGAAGTTTAAAGTGTAATTTTAATTAAGAATGTCACTATTATTTTTCACTACACTACACTTATGCAGTTATTGTCAGCCCTTCTCATAGACTCTCTAATGCCATTGTGTCTGTTTTCTAATATCAAGAATTATTCCCTACAGCTAGCACTCTCTTATCTCTCCCTTAGATCTTGCAATAATGTTCCCTAATCTGGCTGCATGTGCTTATTGTGCAGATAGGGAGTTGTAAGTATCTTAAAGAGAAACGGAGACTTTTAACAGAATCTTGTAAAAATGCATGTAGAAGGACAGCAAATGGTCAACTGGGGTAATTCCCCAATGATTTAACACCTAAGATTGTGTCTATAGCCATACTATGCAAAATGTACACTCATATCCTGATCCCTTCACATTTGTTGTACCTTGTTGGGACAGGAACAGTCACTTAATGCATGTTTACACACTGTTCATCACAATGGGATCTTCAGTCACTACTGTAATACAAATAATAATGGGGCAGGATTCTTATTCCAGTCTCCTGCTACTTCACAACAATAGTGCCAGCAAGTAGAGGGGAGTAGACAGCTGCACCAAGACCACTATGCCAGGTTCATAAACAGGGGCTCCATCAAACACTGACTCAAAGTAGCAAGAGATGTCAAGACCCTTCAGCCAAGGAGCGAACATCTCCTGCCTAGGTTTACTTTGAAAACTACTTGCATATTGGGTACGTTTCTGGCAGAATCAAGCTCTCAACTGTACTTTCAAACAGTTGAGGTAGCAACTTGTGTAGGTAGCACAAGTAAGTGATCCTTTCCTCTAAAAACCAGATTTTGAGCAAGTCTGTACCACATGATGGAGCCTGGCACAGGGATCCCCACGACTGATGACTTACCAGTTTAGGTCTTTTCTTACTGCAGCGCAGTGCTATTTGAATGAATTAGCATAGACCGGCAATTCCCAAAAGGAATCCTTAGTGAATCGTGAAAAACCACAAAGGCAGCAGCCTGTGTACCTTGTCTATCCACCTTCAGAAGCCAATTTCAAGAGTCTGGCAGAAGCGAACAATCCCATGGAGCTGAGGAGCAGGCTGGGATAGGTGTCAGGTTCATTCATGAGGCTGCTGCCTGGCTACACTGGACAGGTTTGGAGTGGCTCAGATGATCTGCCTTTTTCAATGTGTTGCCATTTTCAATCCAGAAGAAAATGTATCCAACTATCAAAGCTTTGGGAAACAGAGGCTTTTTTCCGTAAGTGATATGACTACACATGCGCTGTACCTGAGCTCTTAAACCTTGGTTCTGCACTGAATTCTGTCACCTGTATTTCCAAGATCTACCCACGGAAACCAACAGTCCTGCAATTCTTGTCTTTAAGGCTTCTAAATATTGATATATATTGACATAACCATTGGCAGAACGATGATGGCGACAACTGTGAGAAGAGAAGCTTGTTTCAAGAAATTAGGCATTGTTCTCAGACCTCCTCTAATTTCTTCTTCGTGGTTAATCTTGCCAATAAGGTTATTGGTAACTACCTATATAACACTAGTGAATAATAGAAATTATAGCAAACTGTAAGGGAAAAAGAAAAAAGGTAACACAGGATAAACCCAATCCTAATTTCAAATAACAAAAGCGGTGAAAGACAGCTTAATTCTGGAACTACTTCCTCAGAACAGAAACTGCTTTTCTTTTCCTCTATGTACAATATATGAAGAGCCCTTTTCAGGCCACTAGTTTCATGACAGAAAGTGTATCAATCTCTTGTAGCACGATCGTAGAAAAACTACAGCACAAAATTCTGAAAAGACATGTTAAGACCTTTGTTATAATAAAAATTACTGTTATTGATAACTCTTGCCTAATACTAGTGAAAGGAGGAAAATGTTCTTTTAGCTAACTTACGTAAAACCTATGAAGTCAGTAAAACTGCAGAGAGTGAAAGCACCTGGGGCCTCAACATGCAATCCTTACTTACGAGTAAATCCACAAACTCAGTAATCATAAATCTTACTAAACTTACTAAATAATCAATACTTTAGGTTTAAAATCTAGACCCAATAAATTAGAAATGGAGAGTATCCACAGCAGACCATCTACCTGTGAATGACAATCATCTCCATAACACATTTCCTTGGTTGACTTGTCTTTCTAGTACAGTTTTTAACACTACAAAAGGCTTGCAGATTTTCTTTGTTTGTCAGAAGGAAGTTCTTTCTGTAAATCTAAATTCCGCTTCTCTTTGTCATCCTACTTATGTACTGAATGATCCAAACAGCAGACCATATTCATTCAGCAGACCAGTAATACATTCACTCAGTAGCAAGATTCTGGGTGTCAGTGCCCACCCAGAGCAGTCCAGTAATGGATCAGCTTGAAGAATTATGATGCATAATTATGTTCTTCCTTTGAACAGCAGTCTTCAAATATTTATGCTACGTCTTCTTCATTAGTTCGGCTCTGTATATTTCACTTAGAATAAGTCAG